CGTTGAAGTAAAAGCTAATGAGGAAGTATCACGAAGCTGTCTGATTGGACCTATCGTGAGATGGTGTGAAATCCTTGGAAACAGGCGTTGACACACACACACACAATCAACAGTCAGTTTCATACAGTTTCTGCTCTTTCTAAGGGCATTGGTGCAGCTGGTTCACCGCAACATGCAGCTGAAGACATATGCTCCAGGCCATTATTATCGCGCTTCAAACGCTGCAGCATCGTTGAATCATCAGTGCTGATTCGTGCAAGCAAATTTGTCCTACCCTCTGCAGCCTGAGCCTTTGGGACTTCCCACACTCCAGATGTTCTTGATCTCTGGAGGTTCCTCTTTGCAAATGGCAGTTTCTTCATCGTCAACCTCACAGGCTTGGTTTCCCTCGTGCATCTCACGATTCTCACGTGGCAGCTTCGTCCAAGCATACATCGTCATACCGGTGAGTGCAGCAACTGCACCAAGGAAGGTACGAAGGGTCGGCTCTTCATCAAAGAATATAAATCCACCTAGCAATATAGCGATCGTTTTCAATTGCCCAAGGAGAATGTGAGCAAGAGGCGAAGTAAGACCAAGAACCCATGTCGATGAGACATTTGCCAAGGTTCCTAGTACAGAGGACAACGCAATCGCCATGCAGGTGCTTGCTTGCAGTTGTCGACTGGCTGCTGCCAAATCCTCCAGGAGAATCGCACAAAATACAGTAATGGAACACATCCAAGGCATACAGCTGTCTAGTAGCTGAAGAGGAGAGAGCTTGTCTTCAGAATGTTGAATCACATGAGATGTCAAGCCTTTTTGAACAATTGCCAAAAAGACTGCTGCAAAGGCCGCCGCAAGGCCAGAAGATGTCAACTCCCCAGTGTCAAAGCTCGACACAGTGCACAATGAAACACCACAAACAGCAAGGCACAAGAGAAAGGCCTGGCGGAGTGTGGGGTGCTTCCCATATAATGCTGCATCCCACACAACTGCACCTGGTGCCATCAGCAACTTGACCATCTGGTAGATACCGACAGAGTTCTTCGACAGCGACAGGTTCGACATAATATTGTAGAAACTCCATGAGGAGATCAGCAAAAAAACAGCTCTCCGAGTCCCACTGGAAGTCAGAAGCTGTGATGGTGCAGGGCTGTACACACCAAGTCGCAACATGGACTTGATCACAAGCCAGGTGCATCCATAGTGGGCCACGGTCAGCAGGATTGGGAATTGAAATCCAGCATTTAAAAAGACCATTTTGTTGCCCATGATTGTGGCTGGTCCACTTGCGAAGTTGCAAAACAGGGCAAAGCACACAAGGAGGAGCTGAAGCATTGTCGACAAGGGCGGCGCAGTGACTATGAACGTCAGGTGACCATCAAAGGCAACATTTTGAACATGGTAGCTAGACTAATCAAACCTCAGCTCAAACGCAGAAGCTTGAGCAAAAAGTCTGTGAGCGTTGCCATTTGAAACAAGCAGCATGCGCAAGGTGCAAGCCTGGTCAACAGCACGTGTTATGGGTAGACACATGTCATGTCAGGTGCACTAGGCTGGACGGCCAAACCTAGCCAAATATATAGCTAGACTTAACTCTAGAGAGCTTTACTTGTTACTAGTAGCGATGGCCTCCCACCTAATAACGATGGCCTCCACCTAGTAGCTTCTTGCTACTATATACTATTTACTGGTAGAACTCAAGGGACTTCAACCTTTACCACAAAAATTCCAGAAGATTCCACTGGTCAACGAGATGCCATCGGCTGCATTCCTAGATTCATTGCCCTCGGACGTACTTGCAAAAGCTGGTATACAGCGTTCCCAAACTGCGCCAGTTGTTTGCATTTGCGGACATCGCCGGAGATTCACATGTCCATCACATGGGGTCACTGCAATCGAACTGAAGCCTGCCTTCAAGGCTGCTTTTGTGGAGCGCTTCCGAGCTTCCATGCCCCGCAAAGGACTTGTACACCATGCCTCGCACGGCAGCGCAGCAAACGCAGCTGGCGGTCGCGGGAAGCATAATTAGCAGCTTCCAGTAGTTGGATCGGAACAAGTGGGTGTGTGATGGTGTGCTAAAACCTGACCCACAAAATGAACCGAATTGAATTGACATGAATAGACTATTGGAATCTATTGGACATGGTCAACTCAGAGTTTGGAGGCGTTTTGCTACAGCCTCCGTCCCCACGGACCCGGAGCGAGTTCCCACGAGCAAGTCTGCTACCTCTGGCTCTTGAGAAGGATCAGGCATCGGCTCACCATTCAAGGCCAAGCGGACGCGCTCTGCCAGGTGAGGCTCATCAGGGACTAGGCCTAGGAGTCACACACTGAGAAGGAAATACCTACAGAGAAAGGGAAGTTGTGCAGAACCTCGTCAGTAAATGAGGCACCTGCCTCTGACTAAAGCTCCAGAGACTTCCAGGGTGTGCCCACTCTTCTCAAAAGAAAGGCATGCCTTGAGGAAGCTGTAAAGCACTTTTTGTCACACGCACACAAAGCAAAACCTCGGCTCGTGTCTGGTTTGCGCCTGGGTGTTGTGCCGTACACCTTGGCTTCGAAAGAGAGCTGCGGAGAGGCAGCGAAGGCCAACATCTGCACGCCCAGAAGTGCGAGGATCTTCTGCTTTGAACCTCAGTAATATATGTGCAAAACAGAACAACATGAACAAAGCTCATGCACCTCCCCAAACCTAAACAAAGGAAGAGTGCACCCACGAAACGCATCAGCATCAGCACGCTGTAGTGGCACCAGAAAACGTCGCCAAAAGCACGGCAAGTGTGGCCTCAAGTGCTGGCATGTGATACATGATGGCCCCTGTCTTGAGGGTGGGGAGGGAGGTGGATACCCTCCATTAATAAAGAATCATTTTGAGGTATGTGCACCCCACCACCCCAAAATTATTATTGGCAGGTGTCGGACCCTGAAACAATTTTCCAGCGTTGGGGGAAAGCGCTTACAAAAAATGTATACCCCCTGCCGGGAAAACACTTACAAGAAAGGGGGGAAAGCTCTTACAAGAGACAGGTGAAAACTCTTACAAAAAACTGATCAAATCTCTTACAAGAAATGACAGCAGCAGGATGCAATAGGATAGTAATGGAAAGTAAAGAATAGCAAAGAATAGTCCAGAATAGTACAGAGCTAGTCAGCGAGTCAAATAGGTTTAGTCAAATAGTCGAATGTGGCATAGGGTGGTTGGCGGGGTCCCCCACCGCCAAAATAAATTAGTCGAATGCGCTGGCACTGACGAAGGTGGTGGTGAGGGGTACCCCACCCCCTAAATAATTTAATGCACTGTAGTGGTACTGAGAGTGGTGGTGGACAGCAGGGGGGGATGGAGGGGTACCCCACCCCCAAAATAATGTTGTGGAATGGGGTTGATGAACATGTTTTTTTTTTATGGGTTGGTCAAGGGGTACCCCACCCCCAAAATAATTTAGCAATATAGGTCATATACGGTCCTCTATATGATCATACATGATATTATGCGATTATACCGTCCTGACAGATTTGTTTTTGCTATATATGTTTAACTAGTTTTTTGCAATATTACATGTCCTGCAATTTTTTGAGCAACATTCTTCCACAGGTGTATTCCGATCGCAAGCTGCTGAAAACAGTGGACATTGTGCGCAGGAAGACATGGTTGGTTCTCTTTCTTTGCTTCTTCACATACATTCACTACCCCTTTGGCAAATAGCAGCGGCCAAAATGACAGCAGGTTGATATGGCTTGATGAACAATTCTCAAGAAATTATTTTGAAGTATAATAACCTATCCTTCAGAAATTATTTTGAGGTATAATGACCTAATCATCAGAAATTCTGTCTAGGTCCTTGACCTATCTTAGGCATAATTATTTGGAGGTCCTTCTACCTTTTTGATGACAACTATTTTGCCATACCCACCACCTCATATTACCACCTCTCTGTAGAAATAGTTTCCAAACAATTATTTTTAGCAAATTATTAGGAGGGGTCACCCTATACCCTTCAATAATTTCTGAAGGGAGCGGCCATGATACATGTGACGCATCCAAATCAGTACTCTCAAGGGTTACCATGATGGAACTGTTTAATCCTCTGCAACCAAAGCGAAAACAGCCGAAATCGCAATTCGCGCCTCACAGCTTCGCAAAATAGGAAGCGTTCCAAAGGTTTGGAACCAAAGGTACAGAATTTCGTTGTGTGCCCAGCCTGAAATGCACTGGAATGCTGAGAATGCCATCCCAAAGCTTGGAGTTGAAAGAAAGCGACAAGGCTAACAGCTGGTTGTTCTGCAAGAAGCGATATGCAGCAAGATTGGTTTCTTCAGATTCTTCCTGTCTTCTTTTCTGTCTGTTCCTGTCTCTTTCCTTCTGCCTGCTTTTGTCCTCCCTTCCTTCTTTGCATGCTGTCCCGCACCTGACCGCAGTGATTGCAGCCATCCATGTGAGACATGGGGCACTCGCTCAGCCTCAAGAGACACATCTGCTGGCTTCGTGACGCGACGCCCGCGACCTCAGGTCCAGACCGGTGGCCTCGAACGCCACAGCGACCGCAAGGCCATCGAGTTTCGATGCCGTCAGCCACCACAAGGGGGGCACCTGCACAGTGATAGAGGTTGGAGAAAGTTTTGCGAGGAAGGAGTCTTGTGTGCAGCCTGACGCACAAGAAAGGACACTACACATTAAAGACACCAATAGGTTGGCAATACCTTAAAACAATGTAAAACAAACAATTATGCCTAGTTGCTTGCAAAGGATCTCAAAGTACAGAAACTTGCATATGCATGGAATCATGGATTAGCTACTGTGGATTCAGGTTTACCACCTACAAAAAACAAAACACAACAACCCAATCCACAACAACCCAATCCTCAGCCAAAAGAATGGATCTCTGAGGGCCTGAGCTCTGTGCTTCTGCAGGCGAGACTTTGCGCCGCTTCTTTGGCACCGAGCTGCTGGACGGCTCAGTTACGCTGCACCAAGCTGGCCTGGGAGACAATGAAAAGCAAAACAGCCCTTGGGGTTGCTTTACAACAAACAAGCAAACAAAATCAAGCAAAGACCGTCAAAACCGCACATTCTTTTCAGCTTGAAGAAATCAAAGATTGACGCACCACCAGAAGTCTGAGTCTGTGAAACTTCTCGACCAAGGGTCAACGGCGGATTTGGAAACTTGTTTGGAAACTATTCGGAATTCGGAAACTAGGGACGGAACGGATTCGGACACTTGGGAGAGCGTGAATTCGGAAAGTAGGTAACACCCCCTATTGCCCACCCAACCGTGGCATCAACTTGGATCAAATGTGTTCGCAATGTCGAAGGAACGTCAGCACCACCACCCCACCCTAGCATCAACAGGGTTTGCACATTCAGAGGAACAACACCCCCCCACCCCACCCGTGCCCACTGCTGCATGAACCGGAATTGCGGTTTTAGAGGAACATCAACACCACCCCACCCCGGCCCCTAAGAGGATTATACCCTGTGCCGGTGCCCGTAAAGCTTATCAATAAAACACATCAGTTTTAAGCATTATATGTAAAAAAACAAAAACTGATACAATTGTTAGGCGCAAGTGTCACCTCTTTGCCCCTGCCGCTTGCCGCTGAACTCCCGTGCTGGCCCGCTGTTGGGCTTAAAAACAGCAATCTCCCAGATCAATGATTTTTCAGTGTTCAATTGTTAAAGTCCTATTTAATAGAGTAAGGGAAAAACATCAACACAGTTAATAAAGGCGTAAAAATAACTTTTTTTTAATAAGACACGGACTGATAAAGACCAATCCTGGACATTCCAATTGCACTAAGTATATGCATCCTTTCTTGCAGCAAAGCTGTTTTATAGATAAACCAATTATATAAGGTATGGATGGCTGGATGGATCAGTAGAGAGAGAGAGAGAGAGAAAGAGGACAACACATTAATCAGGAATGGCTTTCTCTATATATAAGTGTTTTGATTGCTTCTTTCCGGGTTTGATAGATAAGTTGATACACGAAATGCACATGAATCAGGAATAAACAATAGTTTCAAGAAGAGACGTCGAACATGTTATGTGAAACGCGCTCGCCGGCGCATAGGGGTAAATCTTCCCCACCACCACCCCACGCCACCCGTGCCCATGCCCACTGTTTGCAACTTCAAAGGAACGTCAACACCACCCCACCCCACCCAAAGACCCGGCAGTTTCTGAATTGCGACGCCCTGTACTTCCTGATTCTGGCAGTTTCTGAATCGGGTGAGCTTCTGAATCGAGCCTTCGGCCTAGTTTCTGAGTCGGAATTTACCCAAGTTTCTGAATCGCCTTCTGTTCTTCGACCAGCGGGGCGAAGCCCGGTGCTGCCAAAGAGCAAAGCGTATGCCAGTTGCTCCAAGTCAGCTAGCCGCGGCATGCGACGCCTTGTGCTTTTGGCACAGTATGCCAAAGCAAACTAAGTGAACAGCCAACTGGATAGACATGCACACTGGGTAAGGAAGGTGAAGGTGGCCTAGACTGCCCAATTGCAATACCAGGCCACTTTCGCAACACATGGAGCAAAGCAGAACCTTGAGTCACTCATCTCACACAGAGATTCACAACCAAACTGGAAAAGCAAAACATACAAGGGAGTACAGTACCGGAAACAAATGAAAGAACGACCTGTCACTAGCTCCAAAAGCAGCCACGCAGCGAGATCTTGAGTTGGTCTGCAACTCCCGCTCGGATGGTCGGGTCTCAGCGGAAGCAACTGCCAAGGGATGGAAATACATGGACACATCCCCAAACTCCTAGGAGACAAACATAGGATACAATCCCCAACCCCGCTAGGTTGACATCCGTGGATCCAATCGAATCCATTTTGACATCATGCGCCAAGACTTGAGGCCAAAGACCGTCTCGTCCATCTCCATGGACCACCTCTCGGGAAGTGGTTCCGCAGCTTGTGCACCTTGGCGTCCACATGTAGCCACACTCGTTCTCGATTTCTTCCTTCGGTAACTTCATCTTCAACGTCACCGTATCACTGATTTTACATCTCCCTTACATTCTTTATATGAAGTGAGCTGGCTTGCCGCCAGGAAACTGTACCACTTTAGAAGGGGCTCCTGGACGAACAAAGCACGAATGACCAGTTAGTCTCTGGAGGACTTCAATCTCCTTGTCACGAACAGCTTCAAGAGAGCGAAAAATGTCCATGATCTCAGCTTGGAGAGACATCTTCAACGCATGGAGTGGGTGATTCAACATCGTCTACTCCTGAATCCTTGTGTCTTCGGCCCTTCAAAGGTGTTGTCTCTGAGATCTCGACGATCGCACACTCAGAGTGCTTCCAGGAGATCAAACCAATTCGGCCTCCCTCGTTCAGAAGGCTAAACCTGCAAACAGCAATCGGGTGCAAGGCCACCAGCACATGCCAAAGCAGTGCTCAGGGTATTTCTGCGAAAGTGGTGCCCCATCAGTTCTTCATGCTGAGTGCTTAACGCAGCATGGATCCCTGATCGCATCTCGCCAAACCTCGACGTAACCGAGGTTGGAATACGAAACCCAATCCGCAACCGATGAGAACTCGTACCTTTCTGCTTCCTGCTAAGATAAGAACTCGTTGTTCAAATGGATGCGCAAGGCCTAAAGTTGGTCAACCCGCAAGCGACTGACTGTCGATCAAATCCCTGACTGCTCAGATCGCTTGGAAAACCAACCTGAAAGGTCAGCTTCGCAGGGTGCATGGCTTGGTATTCCGGTCCCTGTCATCACTGTGAAGAACTCCAAACCAAAATAGGTGCACATACATTGCCAATCGGATTTGACAGTTATATATCTTATAATCACTCATAACAAATGCTTCTCAGGTACAGTTAAATTCTGAGCATCTCAAAGACGGTGCGCATATCCGCACATCATGATGATAGCAAACATCTTCGTTGGAGCCTTGCCCTGAGCCACCAGCATTGCAAATTCGCGAGTTCGTTGCCTCAGATTGCTCAGGCTCAGCAGAATGAGCTTAGAGACTATAGAGCTGAAATGATTCTATTCCGCCACTGCAGTAAGTCGTACAAATCCGGCGGAGAACGCCCAGGCAAAATTTGCCTCACCAACGACGGGGCACGGCAAGGCTTCGCGGGCGCGCGCCAAGCAAAGAACATCTGCGATCCGCTGTGAGGCAGCAGCATCTGACGTCTCACCATACCTTTGACATGAATCTCAATGAGTCTATCAGACTTTCAGCACTCAAATGATCACACGCTGCTGTCGGGCAACTCGGAGATCACACGGATGATCTCCTACAAAACACAAGAGCGTATCATTATCATCCTAGGCTTCATTTCTGCAAGAACGAAACCAAACGGACTATTAAAAAACATGATTCCAAAACCAGCAATCTTGGTGTCCTCTCGCGATGCAGACATCAAGAAATCCCAGGCTGTGAGACCCTGGCTTTGGTCGAAGCGCAGGTCTAGGGGTCCGTCAGCCTCCGCGGTTCCAGGCTAAAAGGCCAGACTAAACAGTCACTGAAGCGATGAAGAATATGACCAAACATTGAAACAAAGGTCCCCAAATAGATGGACATGATGTCGAATACATGTGGATTCGATTTAAAGTTCACTGTCTCTTGATCCCTTGCCTCCGGACGGAACCCCCGGCCGGCATCATCAAACTGGGGCGAGGAGATGCCCAGGTCAAACAGAACCTATGGAGCTCGTGACAAAGGTCCAGCTGTGTGCAACCGGGGTTGTGTTCGAAACAGTCCTTCCAAATGGTTAAGTCCTGTGTAATGCAAAGAACACCAAAAATCTTGGCCTCTGGCGCCAGAGGGTTTCACGCCCAGCGGCTTAAGGACTGCCTGGCAAGAGGAGCTGGGTGGTGAGGTGACAACCAACATCCAACGGTGTAAAACATCATCTGTTCGGTGACACACGGTTGGTTTCTTCTGTGCACATGGATTGCCCAACATCCCCAATCCAACCGTGAAGCGGCATGACCAAGCAGTAAAATGGATTCAAATGGAAAGGTGTCCACATCAAGCCACCAGAAATGTTCTGGAATTGACATTTGGGTCAAAGCGGCAGCCTTGTGGAATCAATTTGACATTTGACACAATTGAAATGCTTTGAACAGGTTCGTGCAACCCTTTTTGAACAAATGATAGACTCATTTAGAGTCTGCACAAACAGCAGGATGGTCGTTTGCCCCATACACTTCATGTTCTTATTTGCTTTTCCTTTATATATCTGCTTCAACCAACCCCAACTGCACACAATGGAACCGCCACTTCAGCGTCACAATCGTCCCCGCTCGCACCTTCATCGAGCTGAAAGGCGCATGATGAATGGTGAAGCGGGAGTCAGCCTCTCTCCGAAGCTCAAAGGCTGATGACATGTGTAATTTTGTAATTGATTATCTATATCTCTCTATATTATGTGCATTAATTGCTTTCAAAATCCTTCAAAATCATATTGATTAATTTCGGATTTTAGTTCCTTGCCTGCATGAGTTCTTTGCCCACTGCAATGGCTTCCTGGCTCCCCGCGCAAACATGGAAAGCTCACCAGAAGCATCCAAGACCTCGAACATCATATCTGCAGTTTACACTAGTATGTTCTACTTCACCCACCGACTAGCGCCGCCATTAGGGCATTCCCTCGGTGACGAGAACTGCATGGCGGCGGCACCGGATCCATGTCGAAGGCATGCAGCGACCCGGAGGGGGACATGGCCGCCAGCATTGCTCGGCTGTGACCTCCGCGACCAAAGGTGCCATCAACGTAGATTCCACCTCATCGTTCAGTTGAACGAACATCCAAACAATCTTTCGGCTACAAAGCCGGACAACATCTGGTGTCTAGCCTAAGGACATTGCCGCCTAGAATGGGTCGGCCCCCGTCGGTTATGCAGGTTTCAGGTTTGCAGGGTTGGCTGCAAAGCAGGCCCACTTGTTACCCTCAGCAAGTTTCAAGCTTTGTTGGCAGCATCAAGCTTGCCATAGTTTGGCACACCAACAGTGAGGGCACGAATCAAATGCAGTAGTCGTTGTACAAGTTGTGGTGAAGTTGTTCTTCCATGGACACACAAACATGTTCAAAGTGGGCATCGGTTGGCATCGATTGGGGCATCGGTAAGGCAGTGCCGTGAGAAAGCTATTCCGTGGTTGGAAATTTGTTGATCTTGCAACAAATATTGTATACTATACTGGCGTAAGCAACTCAAACTGAGAAGAGCAACATACCAAGTTTTGGCGTAAAAATGTAGCGTGGCAGTGTGCTTCCTTAAGTGGTTCGTACATCGAAAGGGCATCGGTAGACGGGTCGGCCCCCCAGGTTTCGACTATCCCAAGACCACCCCGCGACTACTTTAGTATGCACTAGATTTTGCCAGATCATATGGAAGAGTGTCAGCCAGTCTCAGCCCCTCAGCCCTGCCTGGATTGGGTGAAACCAGCTTCTTGACCTGAGCTGTTTCATCTTTGTGTTGCAGCGCCTGGTTCACCCCGCAAGGCCCTCACAACCTCTTCGCAAAGGGCTGGCGTGTGTGTACCAGCCGCTTGTACAGAAGGCCGGATGCCGGTGTGAAACCTCAGCAGTCTGTTGAACGCCCATTACAACATGCACTCCAACACTGAATCATCACACATCTTGTTTTAGACTTAGATTGCGCGGGCTCTATGCATCTTTGCGCAGCTTGCTGTGCCAAATAGCTGCTTGCCAGCTTTGATCTCCAGCTTGCGGCCCTTGAAGTCACACCCGCTCCAGCCTGGGAGCGTCCCTATCCCATTGACGTAAGAATCTATCGGTGTCTGTACGTGATGGAATTTGTGCATGTGTGGAAACGAGTGAGACTTGAGTGAGACTTTACTCTGCAAGCAAACATATATAGAATTTATATGAATGTCTATCAATTTATCATTCTATTGCCTGACCCACCACACATCGGAACAAATGCCTGAACATTCTACAAAGTTCACCCAGAAGTGGATGTGCAAAGCCCATCTGTCCTATCTTTTGATGGACACCCATTGGCTTGTGCGGTTAATTCGGAAGGATTCAGGGATTTCCTGAGGAGCTGACTCAATGCCTCATCGAAGGCCGCTTTGTTGCTGAATGTGATCCAAGCGATGCCCTGACCACGTGCTGCGCCGGCCCCCCGGGCACCAAACGACCAGCCAGTTCTTCGGACGCACGGACGACCCATGTTACTAGTAGCTTCTTGCTACTAGTAGTACGGCTAGGAGCCCCTCTAGTAGCTTCTTGCTACTAGTAGTACGGCCAGGAGCCCCTAGTAGCTTCTTGCTACTAGTTGTAGGGCCAGGAGCCCCCCAGTAGCTTCTTGCTCCTATAATTAGGCCCAGTAGCGATGCCAGGAGCCCCTAGTAGCTTCTTGCTACTAGTAGCGATGCCAGGAGCCCCCAGTAGCGTCCTTGCTCCTAGTAGCGATGCCAGGAGCCCCTAGTAGCAATAGCGATGACCTCCGCCTAGTAGCTTCTAACGACCAGCCAGTTCTTCGGACGACCCACGGACGACCCACATCCCAGCATCGCTGACGCGCCAACCTTGCAATTCCCGGTCTTGCTGTCAAGCATTATGCGAGGCTCTCCGACCTAACAAATTGAAAAGGCCTGAGTTATGATTGGATGGGATTGAATGATTGTAATTCTGCAGCCAAGCCACAATGTCGCCAGCCTTGCCAACAAGCCACATCGACTTAAGAAACATTATATAGAAACACATTCACAGTCTTGATGCCTCTGAGAAGAATCTCTTCAGCGCATCAGCTGTGGCCGAAGGAGGCAAAAACTTGATGAAAATCTCGTAGCCCTCCACCTCCAAACAGTGGCTCTGTGGCTGATTAATAGTGTTCTATTGCTGTGATTTCTTGCTCAATGCTCACGGCACAGCGGGTTTCTTCATGAGACACGGGCATCAGCCTGCCCTGCAGCGTTCTTTGCCAGGCCGGCCATTGTCGCTCACAAGGTTCATGGCCCCATGGCCACAAGCTCATTGCTGTCGAATCGTCCAGCAATATCGTTCAAGGCCATGGATTATTGCTATTTGTAGTAACAAGAAGCTACTAGGGACTCCTGGCCTTACTACTAGGAGCAAGGACGCTACTAGGGGCTCCTGGCATCGCTACTAGGAGCATTCTTACTAGTAACAAGAAGCTACGATCGGGGCTCCCAGAGGGCCTTGGATCATCTTGTGTTCTGAGTTTCGGTCTCACAGGTCCCAGATTGCATCATCTGATTTAAACATCCAGCTTGAAAGCACCTTCAAGATTCCAGACAAGGAGCCCAAAAGCTCAGCGACAGAAGCACAATCATAAAGCAACAAGCACCATTGATGTGTTTTAGGTCACAACTGCTATCACCTAGCTCTGGCACATTCTGAGAGTCTCATTGCCAAACGGTCCTACGCATCGACTGTTGATTCGTTGATGGGACTTCAGAGCCGGGCACCAGCCGCGCCGAAACCAGGCCAAGGTCTGCAAGGCCAGCAAGACCTGGAAAAACTGAGTCACAGGAAAACAAGTAAGACTGAACCAGGTATGCTGCAAGCTGTGTGGAATACATGGTGATTCAATGAGCACCGCACCTAGATCCCGAGCTCTGCTAGGGCTCCGAAGTCTTCGAAGCACCAATGACAGGAACGGAGCAAAGAGCCTTGTGGGCAAATGGGAACGGTTGGCAAAGTGGGACCAAAGCATATGAGCTTGGAGGGATCTAGCAGTTCTGAAGAACCTCTTGATCAAAGTGACTTTCATTTTGGTCAGGGCCACCCTGCTGAGATTGAGCTAAAGTGGATCCCGAAAAATTCTTCGGTGGCAGAAAATCTCAAGTTCTCAAGGGAGTTGTCTGGGTACCGCAAGCAGCTGTTCGGTGTCAACGGTGTTTTTGGATCTTCTACTGATGTACCGTTGTTCAAGTGACCACTGACCACACAAGAGTCATGACGTTTTGTTTACCAGGGGGTTGGGGGCTGGGTGGGGGTTGCTTGGATCATCTGCGCCATCATTTGATCTCAATATCATGAACTTAATCTGCTTCATGAGCCTCATCTTCATCCCCATTTCATGCACTGCATCTTCATCTTTGTCTTATGAAGTTCATCTTCGTGCGTGAAGAAGTCCGTTTGACAAACATGTTCCGCGATTGCTGGGGGACAAGTTTGATTTTTTGCAGTCCTTTAAAACTGGTATGCCATGCCATTGTGGTGAAAACGCTAAACACAAAAACATGTGCACCCTCAGTAGATTTGACCCCTCGAAAACTGTCGACAAATCATGATTAAGTATTAAGTATGCATTTTCCTTGTGAAAGGTGCATTTTCATGCATCAAGGCCCAATGCAAAAACATTAAACACCCATAACGCCGTTGACACGTTTTCCTTGTTGCCCATTGTCAACATGCACAACTCATGAAAATGGTCAAAGAAACGATGAACATATATCAACATCACATTCAATCTCACGTGGACTCTGAATCTCTTCACTTTGTGGCCTACAAGAGCTGCGCACAAGGCCACTGCTTTCCCTCAGCCACTCTTGGAGCTACAGGCCATTGCCGAATCGGTGCGTCATGAGACCACAAAACGGGCGCAAACCCGGAGGTTGACACTTTGATTAAATTACAAGAAAGTTGCAAAAAGACCTTCTAATAGTGATGGCCTCCACCTAATAGCGATGGCCTTGTGCACACAAACTGCTGACAACTGTTTGGATCATTTTGGATCTCTACACACAGAAGCTGACGCTGAGCAACAAACAGAACCACCACCACAGGCGCTGTGTCTGCCACCAGCTTTGTGCTGGACCCGGAGGCAAGCTGAGCAAGCTATTGGCGCAGCTAACTCGCATTTCTCTGGCACAATCGAAAACACATGCGAAAGCTATGAGTTGCAAATATAGATATATGTATAAATAAGTAGGATGACTGCTTGTTTAAAATGTACATATAGAAAAATGTATCGTTATATAAGACTATAATATAAACGAGTAGTGGTCTACTGCACGCAACGGCTTTCAGAATCCAGTTTTGACCCATACCGTGATCATGGTTGTCTCTGCCGACGTCCGAGCCAAGCGCTGCATGGGTCCATTCCACTGCAGCAGCTTGCAGCCGCTGTGGCAAACTGTGCAGAAGAGGAGGATCTATCGGATGATATCGGATGTGGCAAACTCATGGATGTGTGTCCAAACCTCACAACCCCTTGATCCGGTTTCTGCTAACATCGACAAAGGAGGGAAGTCCCAAGATCAAAGATAGTTGGATGCAATTATAATTACAGTAATGCAACAATATACCCAAAAAACTTTCGAGATGAGTCGAAAACAATTGCTTGATTGAAATGCCACGTCATCGCCCAAAATGGCTACCAGGGCTGCGGTTGCTAACTGCACAGTGTTTCGTCAATAATAATCAATCATATTCTAACACCAAATCACTCACACATGGAGGATGACAAACATGTGGCTCATGTCAGGGTGTATATATATATAGTGGTTCTGAGTGAATTTACGAAACCACGCCCCAAAAAAGACACACCCAAACTATCCCAAACTCTCCTGCCTTTGCATACCGCAGCGCTCGCAGGCTGTTGCGGCAAAAGCATGGCCAATGCTTTTTGAAGCAGCTGCGTGGGCTCCGTGCGCAGCCTGCATTTTGCGTTGGTTTTACACGGTGAACAGGTCTATGTTGCGCCTGGCACACCAGTGGCAAATCCAGTAGAGCACAGGCCTGAAGAGCAGGGTTTTGAACGAGAATCTGCACATTGTCATATTGGTCTTCCCAAGCGACACCAATCGTGGCATGAGCGCCTTCTGCCACGCTGCGCTTCGCCCACATGCCAAAGCAGCAGCGTTGGTGGCTCGCTGAACAGCCAGGCGCGCAGCACCCTCAGCCTAGGCCAAACGATGCCTGTTTCTTCTTGTCAACAAAACATCACAATTCTACAGTACATCACGCCATCATCCTGTTTCATTGAACGAAGAGGTGTTCAAAAGGTGAAAGGCTCGCGAGGAGCAGTTTTGGAAGCTGATGCTTGCCTCTGCCATCTCTGGCAATAGCTCAAGAGCCTGACAATGGAACAGCGCAACACTCTTGCCTTGGAATCTGTGCACTTGCACATAGCTTTGAACAGCTTTAACATGTTTATCCGTTTATCCCTTCATATCCCGAGCCTTCTCCCAGTGCAACGTCTCCGCCACTGCACTTAAGGCAGTATGCACTGCAACCAACAGCGGTTGCTGCGCCTACAACTATGGACATCCCAAGTGCCGAGCAAATGTGGATCAACTTTTGCAGTTTGCCCATGCCTCTTTAAACTGTGCTGTTTCTTGCTGGCATCGTCCCAGCAAGCGGAGAGCCAAGGCCCATTGGCCCTGGTGAGATCTCAAAACACAGGTTACGGCAGCCGCTGCTTCGAGACACAAATTGCCCTCCTCTCATAGGATACATTGCCGCGAATGATCCTTTTTGGATGGAATGAATCCAGTACAGTACTGAAGCAAGTCTTCTTGCGTTTGTTTGATACCTCTATTCTCTGAGGTTCTCGCGCGGTGCACACAGGCACCAATGGCCGCAGAGTATGCCTCAAATTGGTGAGGAAAAGAGCAAATGCACATCACCTTCTCTGGTTCATTGGATATGTAGAACATTTGGAGACCGCCGAAGCGACCACAGATGCTCTTTTGAATGGAAGATTGCAAGTGATATCTGTTGAACTGGCATTGGATGCCAGTTCTCTCATGCTGTGGCCCAGGCAACCACCAAGCTTCCAGGGCTAGATGACCAAACCTGAACAAGTTGCACTTTGAACTTTGGGACCAATGTGATACACCTGTTCATTCAACGGCAAGCTGCCTGGTCCTGCAGCATGTGCAAGATCGCTAAGCTCTGATGCCAGGCGGATCCTGCCCAGCTCCATGTCATGGGATTCAGCAAAGTCGTTCCATTTAAGATTTAGTCAAGAAATCACAGCATGCTTGAAAGCAGTAATGAATGATGACCCTTGATGATCAATCCTACCTTTGTGTTGAGCAATGGCAGCCATACATGACCAACCATCAAATAATGTGTTTGTGAAAAAAAAACAGAAAAGCAAAATAAAAGCAAATGAAAATGCAAAAGCAGCGCAATTTGCTTTGTGTTTGCATTTGTTTTGCTTTTTGTTTTTTTTCCTGGTACCACTTCTGCACTTATGAGAACTTTTACCCGTCAGCAATATTTGCTGTACGCTCCTAGGAAAAAAAGCGAAAATAAAGCGAACACATGCAAACATAATAAAGCGAAACAATGCTAAAAACATGCGAACATAAAGCGGCAAAAAAAAAGAGTGAAAACAAGCGACAAACACGCACAGCTACATTGTTTTGCTTTTTTTGTTTGCTTTACCTTTTGCTTTTTTTTGCTTTAAACCATTATTTTGGCTCCTTGTATCTATGGCTGGCGTGCCCGACTCAATCCTACCTATATCAAAATAAGTGCGCACATAGCGCAAAAAGCTCCTGTCTGGCAGGCAGCCAAGGCAGCACTGAAGGCGGTTGTGTCCAACGAGAGTTGCAAACGGCAGGCTCTGCTGAACAAATGAAGGGAGCGCTCCTCAAACACCAACGCTTCTGGTTGCGGTCTTGAGAGCCAACAGGAAAGCAAACATTCTTAACTATCCACCGCGGCTACTCTGCAAAGACCTGGGCATGCTTTTAGCTTCTAGCTTTTGCTGTGATTCTGTCCTATGACGAATGACGCCCGGTGGCTTGGATCGATTTTCGTCGCTTTACCCCAGCTCTCCCAGTAGTTGGCGCGATTGGCTTCGCTCATAGCAAAAGTAAAGCCTGGTCTGCAATCTCAAATCCACAAATGGATGTGCAATATTGTGCAAGCTTCTCAAATCCCCATGATATCAACCTACAAATTGTATGCGCACAAAGTATCCATCGCCAAAACCGGTACCCCACTTCAGCTCACTTGACACATGAAAAACACGCTCTTGCATGCAGTACCATCCCATTCCGATCTCAAGACATCGACCAATGGCGAGCGTTGTTGCTTCGGGCACATTGCACATGTCCGCCTCGCAAATCGGTTGATCTTCATCGCGTGGTTTCCTCTCTTCACCATCTCATTCCCATTTGCCTGGCTGGCCTGCTTTTAGAATTCACCCACTCCGCAGACTTCACATGTTGAAGCGTCCCATTTGGCCCCCCTGCGAGCAGCTTGGACGAGAACGAATGGTGACCCACACGTTCACAGGAGCCAGCCTGCACAAGTGCTCAAGAACAGGAGCCAGCCTCCAATTCCGCTTTTCTCAACTGACAAGGGGATACAGTCGTGGGTCCCTGGCAAACTGAACGAAACAAATCAACATAGCGTGTAAACACAGCAATAAATTATATGCGTATTATATATATATATATGTAATTTTGTGTAGTTAGTTTCGTTATCATTGTTAATCTAATTATTTTCTTATTTGTCTGCTGTTTAAATACGGAGCGGATAGAGCGGGGAGAACCCCGAATGTTTCCGTGCATTCTTCCAATCCTCTTTGGGGTGATCAATAATCAAACTGACGACCGCACCACAATTCCGAAGCAGGCTGCATCTGGCTGGACGGTTCGCTGAGGCCTCCCAGAGTTGACGAAACGAGTCAGGAAAACACAATGATTCTCCAGCAATACTCTTACGGTTTCATGATTTGGGTTGCTCTTGAAAGGGTTTGGTATCTTCCTACTTTCCCCACTGAACAGTGGTTTTGGCATTCTCATTTTAAGGCACGCCCTCAAGCATGTCTCAGAATGAGAGCTTCTCCTGAACCCTGGGCCTCCCAGCATCTCTTGAAGCAGGCTAAGGGCCACTTGCCACTGCCGGCCAGCCGCGCCTTGTGTGGCGGACATGGTGGCCGGAGGTCCAAGCAGGGTGCTCAATATGTCCTTTTGGTGGTCAATGCTGACCCCCAGTCAATTGGAAAAACTCGCCTTGCCCCCCCGCCCGTCCTCAAAAGAAAAATCAAGCTATCAATGGAGCTCGGTCTACCAATGTACACTTCAAGTATGATCAGAATAGTCTGACATTTCCCCTCTGGCTGCTTTTTCTTCCAAGTTTTCATCTACACCTCCTGAAACTCCAATAACCATTGTCTCAATGGTCTTTACCACACAACCATTGCTTTGCTTTTCATTACAAAGCATTTTAGACTACAAAACCAGGTCGACCTTTCTTTGTAATGGTCCTTGAAGGCTAGGGCATCCGGAAAAAACATAAGAATCTGCGGCAAACCTGGGGCGAAGTACACAATTGAATGATAGCCTGTAAAAACATCCATCAAGAATACTAGTGTGGTTTCCAGATTCTTAATCCACATCCAAAAGCCCTATTCTTCCAAGGTCCCGACATGCGCCAAGGGCAGCTCCGGCTAAACGCAGTGTCAATTCATGGCCTCAGAACACGTCGAAAGACGGCCACACAAATCACACAGTGTGGAGTCCGACGGGGCCAAGGAGGAACGGTGCCTAAACAATAGATGTCTTTCTCCTGGAGGCCGTCGCTCTTAGGTTGGAGGCCATCGCTAGTAGGGTGGAGGCCATTGCTATTAGGCTGGAAGCCATCACTAGTAGGTTTGAGGCCTAAATGCTAAATGAGCTGTGTCGAAAACCTATTGGAGCTGGCTTTGTAATCGTAGTATCGTTTCGCAACAGGCTATCGCGGTCCTTTCGCGAGAACAGTTTTGCCTTTCGCGGGCATACACTATTTGCTCAGCCCTTTCGCGGGACCTTTCGCGAAAGAAGTCCAAAAATCGACTGCGGACACATATGTGTACAGTAAACATGTCATCCAAAATGATATTCCTTTCGCAGCCATGTGTTTGTGATGTCTTTTGCAATAGCTTTCTCGAAGCTTTCGCGACTTGAGTTTTGCCTTTCGCGGGGGGCTGTCAGGACAGCTGCATGACACACAAACTCTTCATGGGGGTTTCAAACGAGGCTCAAATTTCTCTCTCCTGTTTGCTGGACCAATTGACCATGCGCATCTTGAACCACATTGTGGACCCCCAGAGGTTTTTGCCTGGTGGCTATATAAGTGGTTCGTAGACAGGGGCTTGTTTGGGTAACAGGAACAAGGCCGGACATCCCTCATCTGTCCATCCTGTCTCTTCTGAGGCACTCTGATACAAAGCTAAAGCTATCTCCCAACGAGACCCTTTGCCGGCAGCTGTGATGGTCGCACCTGAGAAGAGCTTCGAAAAGAACTGTCGGCAAAAGTGTGTTGAACAAGAAACACAACCGGGCCCGTGAAAAGCAATGAATGGGAAGCAAATATCAAATCCCAACTTGATGCACTCCACCTGGCTAAATCTTCAAGTCATCGATCTGGGGTGCCCAGCTCACAGCTGCCGCATCTGCTTCACCGTCGCACAATGAGTGTAATGCCTCCTGCAAAGAACGACACAAAGCAAAGCCGGAAACGCACCTGATACTATGAGGATCGAGGAAAGGAAAGGCTTGCTTTGCCAATGGGCGAAGCGCAGTGCACCGCCACTTGAGACACATCTGACAGGCCTGCCACAGCACTTGTTTCAAGGCGCTCCGGATTGCCCAGGTCTGACCTTCAGGTCATCTCCGGCAAAAGCTTCTATTACCGCCAAGGAGGGATTTCAATCTGAACATGTCTGAAGTAGCTGCAGCCACTGTATGCCAAGCATTCTCCACCTTCTCTTCTTGTTGGAAATGCTTAGGCCTACCTTCGTTTGGCCAAATAAAACCATGGTACCCTACCAGGTGCACCAGTGTCAAAAAAACATTCTACAAGATGTCGGCTTGAGCGATCCTGACTGAAATGATTGGTCTTGAATTAGCCGTGTCACCCTGGGCTAACTTTGGCACCCTTACTACTCGTAGCAACCAACCACTGATGACTTGTGGCGAGAAACTAGTCGTGGTCCTTACTTCACAATCACAAGGAAGAAAGTATGTTTCTTGTTACCAGGTCTTTAAAACATCCATGTGGATCAGCCCCGGTCGAATTACGAAGTCCATTTTGCGTGGCCAATGTGGGACTGTCAATTGTCACCCGCCTTAAGTTATCACAATTAAACAGCCTTGGAGAGTAGAAATTTGACCGATTTTCACTTTGGAACCTTCAAGAAAAACAGCTTTTGTCCTAGCGGTGTATGGATCAACCTACTTTTGGGGGAGCTGTTTGGATTGGCAGGTGGGAACCAGGGGAGAAAAGTCAAAGTGATCTCAAGGGTCTTAGCATAAGGTTATTGTTGCCACTGCGAGGGGGGAAATCAATGTGATCTCTCTCATTCACCCAGGAGACCCACAATCACTGACAATGATCATGTCTTGAATTGCATGAGCACAGCCACAGGCGAAAGACATAACAATCGTTCTGAGATGATTGGCTTCTGATTCCTGCCTGATTGCAATTGGCACATGATGCCGAAGAACTTACATGATTCAGAATGCTTGCAAGGCGGTGCTGGTAGTGTGCCGTCGGTGCACCAGTGCGCAAGGTTGCACTGCAGCCAGCTGCTTGCGTTGCAAGGTCTTTCATTCTGCCATGGTCTTAAACTCTACAGTGCCATGAAATCCATGAGTTCAAATTGGTTCGATTAAAGAGCTGCAGAAATGAATCCAAATGAATCTTTCTACGATTGGTGGCGAGCTCAGGTTGCCACGAACAAGCTGAAACGTGATTGAAGCTGACAAGCTGCAACACTTTCAGCATTCCACTTCACTCGCTGCAAGTTCCATCCACCCACGAGTGTCAACAGCAAGCCAAGCCTTGGGCAGCACACAGTCAAGAGGAAGGCAGGCGAAACGGTTCCCTCAGCCCCTTGTTGAAAGCTAAGCAGCGCATGAAATGGTCCGAAGGGCTTTGGGAAAAACCAATATGAGAAGAGAAAGGTAATCCTGACAAACTAACAAAGCAGAAGCTGCTTGCACTGCTGGCATCTGGACTTCGAAGTACATGTTTGCAGCGCATTCTGCATTCCAAGCGGCGCTTTCCTTCCTGAACAAACGACGTTAGCTCTGGTGGCATCAAAATCCTTTGTGATGCGCATCACGGCCTCCAAGCCTTAGACAAAAATATCAAAAAGAGAAAGAGACCCTTGTTGTTCATCATCAGGTGGATCTCCTGAAAAGACAGCCCATATAACATAACATATTGATGAACATTGCAGATATTGCAGTATGCAGGGTTTTGGGGGACTTTGTCACGAAGGTTTGCTATACAGTGTGCAGCTAGGCACTCTGCGCTGCATGTGGATCGTGCTTTGGACAAATGAGTGCATGGCCAATGTATGTCAACAAGTTGTCCAGCATTGTGTAGAAGAATGCGGAAGAATTGTCGAGATACCAAATTATGGCGCTCGACAGCTCCTTGACAAAATGGGTCTCTCGAATCACACAAAGCTTTTCGCAAAAGTGCTTTGGGAGGCCGCTCATTGTGAGACAAACCTGGTGAATTGATGTTGATTGCAGTGGTGTCAAATCCAAAAGAACAGCAAAAGCGTAGCATCTGTTGCCACTCAGCATCTGTGGTGCTAGCGATGTAAAGGAGGAGAACAGCAGAAGCTGCTGCCTCGGATCGAAAGCAACGACCCTGGTGGCCCGGCCCGGTGCTCCTAGTAGCGTCCTTGTTACTAGTAGTAAGGCACTTGTTACTAGTAGCGATGCACTTGTTCCTAATAGCTTCTTGTTACTAGTAGTAAGGCCAGGAGCCCCTAGTAGCTTCTTGTTACTACTAGTAAGGCACCTGTTACTACTAGCGTGGCACTTGTTCCTAGTAGCGTCCTTGCTCCTAGTAGTAAGGCCAGGAGCCGTCCATTGCTCCTAGTTGTAGGGCCAGGAGCCCCTAGTAGCGTCCTTGCTCCTAGTAGCGATGCCAGGAGCTCCAAGTAGCTTCTTGTTCCTACTAGCGATGCCCTTTGCTCCTAGTTGAAGATCGAGGCTTCTTTGGACCAAGCATTACCAAGCAGCATATTGCACCAGCATCATACTTTGAACCTTGGCAACAGCGCTTGCGGCTTGTTTGCGGTAGGCCTCGCGGATCTTCTTGTGAGGAACAAAAGGTTACATTAGCAGGGCCGACTGAGACCAAACAGCCCTCTAGTCCTCTTAACGATGGACCCCGATAAAACAGGTTCATTTCATTTCGTTTCGGCTTCCAAGGCACTGAGCAAGGTACAGGAGACTGCAAGACTTTCTGTTGAAGATTTGCTGTGAGGGTGCTGCCAGCCAGGTTGATGGCAATTAAGACAAGCCTCGGCATGAGAAGAATATCTTTTCTGACATGTGCCGTTGTCGGTCGCCAGTATTCAAAGCCTGGCAGCCCAAAGCCGGTGAATCGCGCTGATTCCAAGCCATCACCCAAGCCAAAGAGAAGCAGCCCAATCCTGGTCGGGACAAATCATGAAACTGCTCGCACAACCCAACTCGCAGTTGAAACTTCCTGATATAATGACAAAGAGACTTCAAATCAAGACACATCATGCAAATTGCCCAGAACATCTCGTGAGACATAGTCTGGTTCTTGTTGATCCATCGGCCGCCCAGCACAACCTAGACAAGGCAAGTGGGCTACAAGGCCACTAGGTCGTGGGAAGCAACACTGACCGGAGGCCTGGGTGGAACCGAAAGCTACGAAGTTTGTATGTCAAAAAAGGTCCTTATCATAAGGAGCCCGGAGAAGTCACGAAATATGATTTCAGCTAGTCGCGACTGGCGATCTTTGGCTATGCGGATGAAGCAACGCGAGATTGGCCGAAGCAGAAGCGAGACAGGCTCGCTGCAAAGGATGAAGCAAAGAGGAGTTCAACCCACAGGCTGTTGGGGGCTTCACCTTCCGGCCACAACTGGTGTTACTCCTTGCTGTGAGCTCCAAATCCTTAGCCATGCTGAGTGAGGCTCAGAGAGGGAAGCGATTCTGAGGTTATCGGAGTGGGGCTGGCGAGGAGACGGGTCTTTGTCGCGGACATTGACGAATATTACAGGGAGCCCATCGAAGGCGGAGCTATAACCGCGCATGGCAAATGTGTGGATGAGTGGATGGATAGATTGATGGACAAATGGACAAGTGGAGCAATGGACATGGATGGAGGGATGCATCAAGGATGGACTCGGATAGACAAAAGGCATCAAAAGGCAACATGGTTCGCGGCATAGCCCCCAAGTCACAAAGAGAAAGTGGCACTGTATACAGCATCACATCTCAAAAGGGATCCTTGTTGACTGAACGGTATGGCTGTTATCACAACTACGATTGCTGCTGTTCTCTTGACAGTATCTGTATCTTTACTCTTCATTGTAGACCTAGCTTGCTTACCAAATAGGGCCATAGGGACTTGGATTTAGATGTAACAATGGGAATTATGACTGAGTATGGTACTTATATAATATATAGTACATCCTGGAATGGCCGGAGCCTCGCAGGAGTCGTGATGCGTGTTACCAAGAAGCACTTGGGACCTTTGCGCTTTTGAAAATCATCGCGGTTGTGTAGTTCACTTCCAAGTAGGATAAAATGCCAGCACCATGCGAGACCTTGGACTCACTTGAGGTGCAGCACATGTTGCACTCACCCAAGCACAAACATCAAATACCAGCCAAGCCACGGTCATTGACAGCCTAGGACCGTGCATAAAACCAAGCAGAATGCAGCCAAAGCTTGCAAGCGACTGAAAGCCGCTGTACACAAAAGTGACACCTTTGCAATTCAAGCTGCCCTGCAAGAACTGGACCCCGAATAGCCCATGAGTTCAAACGGAGACCACCTGTGAAAACGAAGCCAAGGCAGCCAAGCTGTGTCTTTGGAAATGTCCCTTGTCCAATCCTGACACGACAGACTTTAGAAGCGCCAGGACTGCAAAAGTGAAACCTTAGCTACAGCACGGCCACAGCAGTATCAACAGGTTGTGGCATATTTCCTAGCAAATCTTGCACACATACAGCATCCATCTTTGCTTTCCGAGCATCATTGCAGAAATGTATAAAACAATCCGAAAGCGAAGCCTGGAGCACCCGCACGCGGTGAGTAGCTGAGTAGCTACTGCGGCAGTGTCCCCCAGCCTTCAACTTGAAAAACATACTCGGTGCATACCGCTGCAATACCATGAAGCAGTACCACGATTGCAGACCTCGACAGGCAACAGCTACACGGGTCATTTCAGGCTAAAACCTTCCCCACGTCCAATCAGCTGCAAGAATTTGAGCTGCTGGCAGTCTGAACAAACGTGGTGAGATACCAAGGATTCCAGACATGGCAAGTCAAGTTCAACTTGTGGCCACTCTAACAAAACATGTCCAGATCTCATTGTACCTTCATTGACGTCCAACTCCTTAACGATTTGGCAGATTACAAGGCTCCGTGGCTACTGGGAAACTTCGGTCAAAAGGCCAACTATCACTTAAACTTGTTCATTGAAATTCGTGTGTTGACCCCCCGTATGCATTGCATGTGATGAGCCTGTGAAATCAGCCGATTGGATTTCAAGGCCTTCTGGAGTTGCTCATGTGAAGATTTCTATTCAAGACAACCAGACCCGTCGCTTTCCCTAACCCCCAATGATTTGTTCCAACCCACTCGGATATTTCAGATTATTTCAGATGAATTTGCTTGAATGCCATACATCCCTTATTGCAGTTGGCGAATACATCCAGAACCAGAACACATGCTGCAAGCCTCAAATTTGTGTTTTCTGGGCCGAAATGCGGGCAATCGGGGCAACTGGTAGCCTTCGGCTGTGCCTTTAGCTGCCATGCCTCACATTGGAAGCAAATGTTGCTGATGCCTGACTTGGCAAACAATTCGGGCCAGAGGCGAACAGGGTGGCCGCCAACCAGTGTCGGTCCACAGCCGACTTATATACATGGTTTTACCAACAGTGGCCAAACCATCCTTTAAGAACATTCTGTTTTTGTCATCTGCGGCTGGGGGCCACCCTGGGCGACTTGGCAAAGAGACACCGTTCGCCATCAGATATCGTCGAGCTCACAACTCAGTGCGAGCTTTAAGACTTTGAGCTGGGCCACGCAGGTTGCAGAGCTTCAAACAATTTAGGGTCACATGAAAGATATTCTTTCGGACAATTCTTGGACAAGTCCTCTGAAAGAGAGTTGTTGTTTTTCTAGTTCACTTGACTCCTACAAGAAATACTTGGCCTGCAAGCTCTCAAAGACTTGCTCGCGCCCCGGGCGTGTTACTATCAGCAAGAGCAACATGGGCTGCTCTTTTACTCATCAATTTTCAGCGTCCCTCGACACATCCTGAATAAACATCACCACGGACCAAACAGCCGCCAATACATAACATGATCATGTAAGAATCCGTTCTCATGGTCCTTCTCCTCTTGACTCACTTGGCTCGGGTTCTTCCTATTCGTCCAAGCCATTTTCTCAAACCTAGGAGCCAAAGCACCTAGGTCTCACTTTGAAGGGCTTCCAAGTACGCTTTCACTGCCTTGGTGACGCATCGACGAGGAAAGTGCACGCACATGTCCACGTCTCTCCCGTGACTTGGATCAAGAACTGGCAGATCCGTGCGTGCTGACTTCATTGACAGAACGAGGTCTAACACTGCTCGGGCTCGTGCAAGACACGCGTTTCTCTGCGCCAGCTTCTTGCCTCCCATCCAGTACAATTGCTTCTTCTCACTGCATCGTAGTACAAGAAGGTGCCCTATAATGTCCAGTCAATACTTTTAACTTTAAACATCTTTATATTTATCACTGCCCATGATGCCTATCCAGCCGAGCCCTTCAGATTCGTTGCCAACACCTGGCCTAGCCTCGGCACCAGTCGCCCTGGAATGTTCGACCCAAAGAAGGCACCTGGCATGTTGTTCTTGTGCTCTGGAGTATACAGTATACATACTCACGAAAAAAGTAAAACATGCAAACACAACAGGAACGCCCCAGAGTGCTATTCTACAATTTGTCCTGTAACACTGTAAAGACAAAGTACGGTTGTGGCTAGTGGCACAACAATCTACCACACCCAGCATGACGTATCAGCACTTTTGTCACTATATACACCACAATGCCACAATTGAGGGTTTGAGGCGCCTCTGCAATCGCGCGGAAGACTTGTGGATCATCTTGGGATGCATTGTAAGTCCACACCTTGACATGTCGAAAGCTCGAAGAAGCTGCTTCTGTATGCCACGATGATGATACAAAGAATGTGTGCAAGTGACTTAAGCGATCTGGGTGGGCACTTTGGGTCATACGTAAATTCAAGCAGTAGCTTGGCCAAACAAACCGACATCAACATAGATCAAATCCAAAGCCCCTGTCAAATGGCAAGACAGCCACACCCCTTTTGTCTGCAAGTCTTCCATCGACTCCTGTTTCGCAAATGCTGCTGCGGACGCTGGCAGCTCGAAGTCCACTGTGGACGAATTCTGTTTCTTCAAGCAATTTCGGTCAAATCGATGGTCCCAGTGTGAGAGTTCTGGTTGAAACAAACAATCAAGGTAAGTCCATCCTCGACGTGTACACAGGCGAATTGTAGAAGAGAAGATGCATGCATGCCTCTGTGTGTTTTTGCTCGTATGTGTCCTTGTTAAACAAAACTGGCGTTATTCCAAAGCGCCACGCTCACAAATCAGCTGGATGCGCTCCAACCACACAGAGCAACCCAAAGGGCCATCCCAGAATGCAACAAGCAGCTGCAAACATTTACAAACAACCATGATGCAGGGAAAGTGGGTCACCAACGGCTGGGAGCCCAAGCCAATGGCAAAGCAGGAGCTAGCAAACCCCACCAGCGAGAACGATCTTGAGATCGTAAAGACTACAAAAAGAATCCAACAAATGACACAGGTCTGATTTGACTGGTTCTTGCACCTTCGCAAGCCTGTTGTGATGATTAAGGGCAAGCTGGCATCCTTGATCCTTCCCTTCTCGAGATCTTACTTTGCCACATCTCTTGGGGCTCGGTTGGTGGCTCGGATGATCTTACGCAAGGTCTGAATGCCATGACTTGGAGATCTGCAGTCGCTTAGCCATGGTTCATCCACTTCTCATGAACATGACACCACAGCAGTCAGCAGTGAGCTTCAAGAGTCTGTCATTCATGTCATCCATGCAAAAAGACCAACAAAAAGAATCACTCAAGTCGACCCTTTGGGCAACTGAGATCTCGGCCCAAACTTTTTCGCCTGCAGCAGTATCCTGAGCCCAACAGAAAACATCACGACATGTTGACCTGGTGCACCACAGGCGGTCCTTCGAGAAGGTCTTCTGCAAGGTGTTTTGTACCTCTCAAAAACTTATTAAACAAAAACTAATACAATAGCTACTCGGAACGTGCAATTCTGATCACGTGCAACTCAACATTCACAACAAGCACTTTTGAAAGTAGCGGCTATTGTTGCCTGCATGAGAATCGTTTTCTCCTCTACAGGTGGGCGCTCGGCTGAAGAGGCCTCAGTACAAAACTCTTGGAGAGTCTGTCAGTTGTGCAAAGCAGCTAAGATTTAAGGCACATGTACTTGGACAAGTACGGAATACTACCCTTTTGTAGCTACTATAGGGTCAATAATATCAACATCAAGGATCACTTCTTCCGCTTTTTTGGCGGGTTGAACAAATCCGACTTTGTTCTTTCTTGGTCTCGAACACCTCCAGGGCTGTTGTCCTCCGCTAAGTCCTGGCAACGCGGAACTGCGTGGCTCCGCTTAGTGGAAAGCCCGGAACCGTGTGGTCCGCCGAGGCCCCACCTTGCTCTGAACGAGTTGCTGCGGAGGTGGTTGCTCCGCAGCTTTGCCTGCTGCATTCAGAACACCGCGAAAAGCTGAGGCATCCTCAGATGTTGGCCGGATGAAGCTGAAAAGCAAGAAACGAAATGAGAACAGTTGCATGATGTTACATAGCTCAAAAGAAGCTTAAGAAGTTGCCAAGTTGCACTTTAAGTTATATTAGATCTCGTCTTGATACCACCAATGAACACCAATAAACAAAGTGCAACAAACAACTCTTTAAAACCTTGGAGACCTAGCATCAATCTCAAATGCATCGCTGGGTGCCCGTGCGCCAATGCCAAAATACCACAGCACGCGCTCACAGGCATCCGAAGTGGCCGCCTCAATGGAGGCACACCAGGAACCTGCAAAGTGGTGCCTGGCACGACTCGGCGCGAGGGCACGACTCGCTGAGCTGCGGAATGCCACCCACAAAGACATGTCGTATCTACGGCACGGTGTTGACCTCCAAGAGCAGGACCACACGAAATTCCTCAAGTTGCAAAACAAACAAGAGTCCACGCATGTCCACGTCTCTTTGGTGGCTTAAAATATGAGTGAAATGGGATGACAGCTTTAGCCCCAAGTGAGCTTCGTGAAAATCATCTGAGCCTTGAGCCCCACATAGCCCCACCCATGCATGTGCATATGTGACATGAAAAGGCATTCGTCACTGGCCTTCTCCTGCGAAGTGCGTCGCTCCTCAGGACCACCGTTCGGGTGTTTGTTGATCTGTTTGCGGTGTCTCTGGGAAACCGGCACTGGCAAAAGCCATGCGCAAGTCATACATATTCATGCGTCAAATCATGCAGCATCAACTCAATGGACTTCATCAGTGATTTGCAGCACCACTTCCACTTCGTACAGTGGCAGCAAGGGTCCAGGACTTGGGTTCAGGACTTCACTGCCCTTTTACAGGGAGTGATTCGTCGTCCAGTTTTTGTGGAAAAACATCTTTGCTCCTCCACCTCGACTTTCAGCCGCTCTGACTGCCAAAACCTCACGCGCTTGGGGAGCATTAGCGTGCCGGCTAGGGAGCTGCAACCGCGCGTCGCTGGTGCCGCTTGGCGTAGCTGGTCTTACCCCCTCACAACCCTACAAGACCCTGCAGATGAACGGAACAACCCTACAGGCCCTAACCATGTTCGGACAATCAATTCGTGCCTGGTCGACTTTTTCTTTTGCAAGCGCAAAACCTCCTTTGAGCATCATCACAAGAAAGCAAGTCTATGCCATGAAAAAATGTGCTGCTATGGAATCGAAAATTGTCGCATTGGCTCGGCTCCTCCCGCACTGAGTCCTGGGGGCAATTGTGTTCATCAGCTTCTTTGCTTCCAAAAAGAACGCTTTGTTGATTTGAGCGCAAACACGAAAACATGCCTCCAGAATGAGTGAAGCATCGTTCTGAAGCCCTCTTCCTGGAACAAGCAGGATGTTGGCATCCCTTTTTTGGGCAAACTCTAACCAACATCAGCTTCGCTTGTAGAGAGTCCACTACAATTAATTGGCACTGCAACCGAAGAGACAGTAGCTTGAACAGCAGCAAAGGCAGTATCATTATACCATTTTCTACCTTTACGCTCCCTACGTTGAGACCTTGTCATATCTTTATCATGCTGCTAAACAAGCACGAACTATATGATAGACCTTTCAATGAGGCACCTCGAGATGATGTTTGTGGCGATGATTCTATTGATCATGCCAAACGAGGCTCGCAAGTCGTGATGCGAACAGTCCGCAGTTGAAGACATTTCCTAAACAAAAGCAGCTCAGCCTTCCCACACAGGTCATGTCATATCAATCATATCTATATAATGTCGATGTTGTCACTGATTCCGGTGCTGATGCCTCCTGCCGGCTCCACATTTCCACTCTGCTTCATCATGTAACGTCTGACTCGTTCGGCCTCAAGGAACGTGGCAAGCGGCGAAAGCATGCAAAAGCCCCACAAAACAACGGACCTCATCAGTCAATACCCCGTCTAAAAAAAGGCCAAATCCCTTCGGCATATGTTGATGCGCTGGTCTCACGTCAAACAAAAACATACATCGAAATGAATCAGAAAGACTCGACTTCAACTTCAGGACATCCTAGCATATAACCAAACTTTCCGAGTCCCAATGTCAGAGTCAAACTGTTGTTGCTTTCACTTGTCTGAGTGGCTTCTAATTACTCATCAGACTGAACACATGCTCCACGAAGGCTCTTCCAAAGATCACCAAAGCGTTTCAAGCCACAGGAAATAGCTGTAACTTCAAAACTGAACACCCGCGCTGCGCATCGCTGCGCATCGCTGCACTCGCTTTTACTCTACCCCGTTCTGATGCTTTGCCTCTTGCAAAGCGAGAAAACGATTGGTCAATTCACGAGTCGCTTCGCGGCCGCTGCTCGAAGTTGCCTGTTTGGTGCAAGATCAAAGCAACAAACCACGAAAAGCGGCACAAAAAGGCCTCCCCGTTCGCAGCCAAAAGCTTTTCCATCATCTCTTTCATCTCCTGAAGCATGTGGTGCTTGAATGATTGAACGCTGCTGGATTGGACTTGTAAAGTCCAAGGTTGTCTACCATAATCGAAAGCTCTAGCTCCTGGTCAGTGCAGAGTTCGTATAGCGCGTTCCTCAAAGAAACCCAAGCAATGCAAAGCACATTTTGCTAACCTGACTACATGATTCATGATGGCATACCCCAAACTCATTGCAATCCCAACGGCAGGGAATCAGGATCATCCCGACGCACGAAAAACAGCTTCTGCCGCGTCTTTGGTGGCAGCAGGGGCACGATGGCCTGTCTCAAGGAAAAGGATTAAGAGAAAGAATTCCCTATGACCCTATAAAATACCTTTCTCCTGCAGCAACGCATTCAAAACGCAGTTCACTTCAATGCATCCAACTGCACACTGAAGTGTTTTCTCACAACTTCAAGTCTTGCACGTATTTCAAACAACCCTTCACACATTTTGACGCGCAGCAGTGACCCAAGCAAACATTCCAACTAACAGGATTGGACCCCAGGATCCCATGCTCAAAGTGGGGAATCGTTCTTGGCGGATAGGACCTCGACCAACAAACAGAACAATACGATACGTTTGCAGCATGTTTCAAGTTTCAAGTTACACACCTATGAATTTTGAACGGCATGGACAATGGACCTGGGCAGTATGTGCTATATATTGCTATATAATATTTGGTGAAGTTGTGGACGGAGTGTAGGTTTGCTCTTCGGCGTCTGCTGAAACTGATTCACCGGCAAAACAGTGTCCAATCGTGAGAACCCTGATTCTCTTCACGGTGCAGGCCACACTTGCCTTCACGAGCACAGATAGAACCGTTGGCATGTCCAACACTATGATCCTATGAAACCTTAGTGGAGCTCTGACACGCTCTGACAAATGTGTGCAACTCCAGAGTCCAGAGTCTAATGTCTTGGCTCGGTTTGTGGGTTTGGTTTGGTTCTGTGTTTCAGTGAACGATCAAGCAGTAGATCTGCCTTCAATGCCACTCAAGTACAAGCTTTGTCCAAGAAGCCGCTCAGCAAAGTATGAATTGAGGCTGCGCGCCAGTCTCAAGTACGGCATCATGTTGAGGTTTAACAAAGGCTGATAGCCGTGCGCATCAAGCACATAGTCCAACCTCACATTGAATTGAATTGCCCTACTTTTCCTTCAAACACAAGAACAAAAAAGCAGAGCACGCAGGAATGTGACAAACGCTACCATGTGTTCGCAGTGCATTGGAAAGGAACACAGTGGCAAAAGAGAATCACCAACAGTGTCGTACAGCAATACAAGGATCACCCCCTTAATGCCCGACCCCACAAAGGATATTGCTACAGGGATTTACACTAGAAGGTTGCAACTAACATGACGGTCGCTCGCCAGCTTGGCAAAATGTTCCGAACCAATATCACCCAAACGATGCAAGGAGCTTTGCTGCACAGTGGAAACACAGCCAAGAAGGCCAACTGGTGAGCAAGGCAAGGCGGCAAGTTTGAAGGCACGTGGTTCATGCTTTGCATCCAAGCAGCTGGGTCATTGGGCCAGCTTTTTCCAAAGCCTTCCGGTGTTGATTGTTTTGTTGTGTCTTAGATTTTCAAAGAACACTTTCCACTTTGCTGGACCGTTCGTCTTCTTCGACCAAAGAGACAGCCTGATGCCAAACGCAGGCCAAGATCACGGCCGCAACCTCGCCCTTCCGCTGATTGACGCAGCCAGAGTAAACGAGGGGCCTGGAGATGTGCGATTCGATTGAGTGGCTAGCTGTACATAATATCTCAAACAGTGGACTCTCGATACCCTCAGCACTTGAACCAGATCGGTCAGATGGGGAAACCAAGCAAATCAATCACTCCATCAAACATCACTATATAAACTAGCTCAAGAGCTCAACTGCTAGCAACTACTAAACGCCTGGAGTCCTGACCAATGGCTATAACTCGCGTTTCTGCCGTGGGCAGGTCTTTGGCTTGTTGGCTTAACCAACCATCCAGCGTATCTCGCCTCAGTCCCCAAATACGGCGTGTCATTGTTACAACGTGTCAATCTTTTTGTGTAGCACTGATAGAAGATTATGGAAGGATTCAACGACAAACAAACATAGAACAAGGGTCGGTGGCAGTGATCCTCATTCTTGGATTTAGTCAGTGGCAGGTGCAGTGGCAACCAACTTTCTTCCCCTGCAGTCGACTCGCTTCCATGCCACTGCTTCTTTGAGCTTTTGTATGGCAAGGTCAACATTTCCTGAAACAGCAAAAGTCAGGGAACAAACAGCTGCAAACTCAGCAGCAAAACTCGACTTACTTAGGTATTCTGGCAAATACGTTTTGTTCTCACAGCAGACAGCTTCAAACTGCGGTTCGGGAAGTCTTGTCCCATTGTTTGTCAATGCTCTCCAAAACGAATGCAACCCTAGCTGAAAAGCCCGAATAAGAAATCGCAAAGGGATGAAATTTGGTGCATTCAACCAGTCTGTTCGGACTATGAACCTTGTATGCCTACCCGTTTCCACCAGGTCAAAACGTGCTTGACTTAATTGCCGTTTGCTTGCTTTGTCCGAAGGCCTTCAGTGGCTTGCACCATTCGCTGAACATGGCCAGGACTGACCCAACTTGCAGATCCGTCTGAAAAGTCTTCGAAAACTGCTGCAACGGCAGTGTCCACCTCAGGAGATGAGTCTCGTGAAGTTTTGCAACAAGCTTTTGGACGTAACTGACGTAATTAAACTCAAAACATGGGGCTTGGGGGTTGTTCAAAGTTCCGAAGTTCTTGTTTCCAGGACTTTCGCAAAACCTTCGCACAGTTTCTGCAAGCTTTCGTGCGTGTTATGTTTTGTGTTTTCTCCAGCGACGACCACATTGGCATTTCGTTGGCGACCTGCGGTCTCCCATCGCTGGTGTTGTCACAGAATTCCTTGCTAGGAGTGTTGTTAGTTCCAAGCCCTCAAAATCCAATTTGGCCACCGACCCCTGAATGATTTTTGAACATTTGGTGGCGCATAGATCCCACATGATCCCACATAGCAAAGCTATTTGAGATCATTTTAAGGTCAGTGGAACATGTTTGAAGGCCTTTAAAAAAGCATTCAAAGGTCGGTGGCCAAATTGCAAATGGAAGTGCTGTGAGCACATTCAATTTGAGGGCGTTTGGCAAAAAACATCAAAAAAAACCATCAGAGTTCGGTTGCCAAATTGCATTTTGCGGAGCCTTCAAAAACAATTAGAGGATGGTTGCCAAATTGTGTTTTCAGGGGGTGCTCAATTGGATTTTGATGCGGTTTCAAAGCAACCAAAGGTTGCTAGCCAAATAGCATGTTGAGAGGCTTTCTGAAAACAGTCTCAAGTGGTGGCCAAATTGCATTTTCTGGTGTCTTCAAAACTTCAAGAGAAAGCAAACGTCCGTGAAACTGCATGTTGAGAAGCCTTCAAAAGCAACCAAAGGTCAGTGGCCAATTGCTCCCGAAATAGCGATAGCTATTGGAAGTCTTACTTCAAGTACAGGAAGATGCAGCTGCAGGGTGCGGCTGCCAGATGTGTATGGGCGGGCGCTTTGGAGGTGATCGGCTCCTTGTAGCCCTTTTCGATCTGCATTGGCTCCAGGCCCTCTTCCTCTTGGAGCCAAGGGGTTCAATCTTTTATATAGAATGTTCAGAGAATACTTTATCCACCCACCCAGTGTGTATCCGAAACATGTTTGCCAGGCCCTTCAGATGCAATTTGCCAATGTTTCCCAGATTGTTTGTTGAAGGCCAACAAGTGCATCGCTACTAGTAACAAGGCCTCTCAAAATGCAATTTCTCTAATTGCTTTGTGAGAACACCGACCCCCGATTGCATTTTGCCGGCCCTTACCGGCACAATTGCATTTTCACAGACCCTCAACATGATGTCTTTTCCTCTCCTCCTGTCCCTTGCCGCTTCGTTTTCTGTCTTTCCTTCCTTTCCTTGTCTTCCTTCCCTTGCCTTTTCCTTTTTGTTCTTTGTTTCGTTGTTCTTTTTGCACAGCCACTATGCAAGGGTAGTTGGCGGAGTGCTCCACACATACTTGGCATGTGGGAGGCCTCAGGCTCACCCCCGCGAGTGCCGCTCCCAAATAGGGTTTTTGCACGTCCCTCAAAACCTGCCCACTTGCATATTCCGACCAATTTGCAAACAACATCTGATTGAATCTTGAGGGCCTCTGAAAAAGAAATTGGCCACCGATGCTTCAATACTTTTTGAAGACCCCTCAAAACGCAATCGCAAACAGCCAGCCAACTCGCTTATTTCATCTTATTTCCATATAGCCTTGCCCAGGTTTTTGATAGCATATCAAAACGTCATTTGGCAACCTTTCAATTTTGAAGGCATGCTCACAGCCCGAGCATGGCAATTGCTTTTGCCAGCTTAATCCTTATCAACTTATATAGCCTCAGCAACCTTTCGAAGGATCATTGGGAACCTTTCGCGACGTCAAAATCATTTAAAGGAAACTTGTTCATTAAAAAGGAAGGATGGGTTCTTGAACGTCGTTCCTTTCTTAATTTCTTGTGCCCTGATGTAGCTGTCAGGATGCTGACTCCTCATTCTCAAGAGTAACCATGAATAAAGGGTCACCTGCGAACAGGGTTGCAAGGGGTCCAAGTCAAAAGAGAAGAGATCGGACATGATCGAGCCTGGTCTTCGAAATGCAAGTACAGCGCCACTGGCAGTGCTACCTACCTGGTGTCCAAAGGTTTGATGTGCTTGCTGCATTCTCTCAGCAACACAAGCATAGCAAACCAACCTACTAGCGATGGCCTCCAACCTGCATAAACCACCTATCAAGTGTTCTGTGGTCTTGCAATCATGGCCCTGCCTGAAGACCAGCTCTGACAAGTGATATCCTTGCGGCTGATCCAAGAAGAGCGAGGGAGTTGATGCAAGCCTTTTCTTGCTTCTAGGAACAAAAAGCTACTAGTGGCTCCTGGCATCGCTACTAGGAACAAGAAGCTACTAGGGGCTCCTGGCCGTACTACTAGGAGCAAGGACGCTACTAGTAGCTTGACATGATGGGGGTTCCGTCCTCTGGCAGTGGTCGTTTGGGGGATGGTCGTCTGTTCAACACCAAAGCTGCGCGAGTCCCGCGGCTGGTTTCCACCGTGTCACCCAACACCAGCACCCATGCACAAGGGTTAGTCGCTAGGCTCTTGGGGTTGACACTTCTTCCATGTTTGTCCAGTCCATTTCTGGTCATACCATCATGCTCCCAACGCTCGTTGACCGCACCTGTGTCTCAGTGGAGTTTTCGGTATGGCACTTCCTTGCAAACTGTCAGGGAATAGCACAAGTTGTCTCCCTCCTTAAGCCTTTCAAACTCACACGGTGCGTATTTGAGTGTCTGCCTTTTGAGTCCACAAGAACAACATGTAGTTGCGCGAGAATGATCTGTAAGTTGCAGCAGTGCAATGTTACAACCTGCTTAATATGTCTCGTCAAGAAGCTTTGGAGATGCCGGACAAAATGCTGGAAAATGCGAGGCATTGCCCGGTCTTGCGCTGTCCAGCAAAAGCTCATGGCCAAGCGGTAGGGTTTGAGAGAAAATACAAATACAGCAAGGAATCACTTCCCGACTCACACACAGTTTCCAAGACATAGGCTTCAAAGGGTCTAAGTCCAAGATCCCGACCGAGTCTCTCTGGGCCTTCAAGAGCAACACATAACAGCCAACAGCCACTGTGCCTTCCCTAACCAACTGCCCGCTTTGCCTTTTTCTTGGAGGTCTGCCAGCTGCCACGGAAATAATGTGGCACCTCAATCAAACGCACATGAAGACAAGTGAAACACCCTACCAAACAATCGTTCTTCCTGTCAGAGCCATTCGGGCCTGCTTGAAGACAAAGGACACAGTGGCACGGAACCTGAAGCCACTGAAGCCCTTTGCACAACACCGCAGCTGATTGATGGAACCGCTCGGCTTCGCACTGTAACAAGGAGTCCTCCTGCAGTCGCTTCTCAAAGTTCCACCTCGGTGGGGCAATGAGCGGCAAAGACTTGTTTTTCTCCGCAAGTGTCGATGATCCGATCAGCACCTGTGTTGTTCGCTGTTCTCTGTTTCTTGCTGAACTGAGCTTCGGGCATCAAAATGCGGGAATGTGGGGGAAAGTCCGAACAGCTCTGTATGTACTCCTCAAACGGATCAAACCGACGTCATTCGGCAATAAGAACTATAATGAACCAGATCCGACTGATGTCTCCTGCAAGATTGACACCGCATTCTGGATTTCAGGGTCGGCTTGCATTCCGAAGGGTACACTGACGGTTTCCGCACCGTGCAACTACATCGAGCCACGACTCAGCAATGGCGTGCTTCTCATTTTCTCAAAATCGGCAAATCTTTGGGAAGAACCACCTGCCTCACATGCAGGTACATATGAATAAACAATCCCGTTTATGTTTTTACGTCATTCAAAAATAAGTCTATATATTGCGCATACACTACATTACATTACGTTACGTTACGTTTCTTACACTATATAGATCACATTACATTATATACATTACAGTCATTACATTACATACACACAAACTGGTTTTCGTGGAGTGAAATAGATCAAATGAACCTGGCTGCCTTCATCAGCTGGCAAATGAGATCAAAGCAATAACAACATAGAAGTAAGGTGCACACGTTGAAGACCAAGTCGTCCAAAGCACAGAGAGAGACAGGGCAACAATACAAAAGAGCGCAACAAAGCTGGAATTGAACAAACTGGTGTAAGAAACATTTGTTGCCTTGTGCTCTGAGGGATCAACACAATCGGATCTCGAGGTTGAAAGGATTGAGTCAAATTCAACTCCGCACAATTCCATGCCAAGAATGTGTGCGTCAGTCAGCCTTCGGCAGTGCCGGACCTTCTGATCTACAGTAACTGGTGCTAGCAATGCAGGTTAGCTCGATTTTGGTCCCACGGTGCTTGTCAAACAGCATGCTGGTGTGTTGTTTACCCCACATGTTTGAGTGCTCGGCGACAGTGCTGTGGAAAAGTGTTCCCCCACCAAGTGGTCAGAGCTTGAACTGCCTTCTGGCCACCAAAGTGCTGCTACCAATGTGTTTCTGGGGATCTGCAGGCTCCTTTCATTTCAGAGATGTGTTGTTTTTTAATAGAAACATCAAGCGGTTGGGACAAAATTGGGCTCCACTCTGCCGATGTATCTTCACAGTTACAGTTGTAAAAACAAATCTGCGTATTCGATCAAGCAGTTCATGGATCATTCTGCATTTGTTAATATTTATATATATACTGTATGAATATACTGTATATATATAACACTTGTATAGGTATATATATAATGTATATATATATTTATACGTTCTTGCGTTTTGCTTACTTACTTGTCTATCTATCTGTCTGTCTGTCTGTCAATCTACCTATCTATCTATCTAAGTATCCATTTGTTATCATGTGTTTATTTAGTCAATATATATATATATATGTATAATTGAAATGTTCTTTTTCGAAGCCTTGATTACGTAACTGCGTACAAGGCATCTCCTGCCTCAATCATTGACAAATTGAATCGACAAACCAAATACAGGAAGCCGCTGAATTCACGTCATGTCACAGCTGCCCATTCGAAAGTCTCAAACTAGGGAGCCATGTCTAGGCATGCGGCTCTAAAATCCATGTTTTGCTGCAAGTACTGGCGGAACCTCCGAAGCCATCATCAAGTGCTTTAAGTTCTCAGCTTCATCCAACAGCATCATTCTCGAAATGCGCAGAATGTCTGCAAGTTGATCGGTGGATCCAAAGCATCAAAGCCCTGGGCTGATCCAGGTTGGCATACTTTGTGGCCTGCCAAGCAGGAGAAAGAACATGTTTTGACATGTTATAAAGGCAAGAAACAACCACACAAATTGGTGTATGCGTTGCCCCAAACGGTCGCAACACAGACTGTGACGAGATGTCATTTGGTCCTTCAGTGGCCTCCTTCTTGAACAGCTGCACAAATCCACGCACAGTGTCGCGAGCTGTCCTGTAAAACATTGGTGTTACAAGGCCAACTTCCGCTGCGATCCATTTTGACAAAACCGCCACTAAAGTGGTTCTGGTTGTCCAAGAAACCTGATGCCTGCCCGATTGAGAAAAGCAAGCCCTCACACATCCTTCGCAAAGATGAAATCTCTTGCTTTTCCTCGGAGGGCCAGATTGAGAACTGTCTGAAGTGAAGCCGGACACTTTGTTCTAGACTCCACACGCATTCTGCAATTTCTCACATCCTCAGCTTCTTCTCTCCTGGGGGCTCTGACCATCTCCTCAAACATATGAGGCATTTGCTTCCGCCAAGCTTCTTGGCCTGCCACATGTGTTCATTTCATATGATTCAGGCATGGACATACTCGACAAGAGTCCCCGAAACCGACAGCAAAGCCCTGCACCTCGGACGTCTGCCAAAACCATCTGCAAATCTTTGGCGGTCACACGCCCGTCCTTCTGCGCGCTGGGACAAAGGTGGGGAGCAGACCCAGGACGTCGTGGTGTTGAGGAGACCGTGAAATGCTTGGAATCCTCTTCAACGGCGATGGGTATACACCCCAAATTCGATTCACTGAAAATGAGTGAAACTGAAACCCTGGAAGGACAGTCCTTCTGGTTCTGGATCCTTGAAATCAAGCTCACAACGAACCCCTGGTGCGCTCCTGGTCGGAATCGAAGGTAGCAAAGGCGGCATCAATCGCCTTGTTGTTGCGACAGACCTGGCAAGTCGCTTTCCCAGTCTTCTATAGTGTCATAGGCTGTGCTATGCTGACCCCCCCAACAATTGCACCAACGTGCTGCTTTGGGTGTGGGTGTGCCCAATTCACAAACATACCATACCTACGAGCAAAGGCGCATGCATCAGAAGATTTGACATGCTCAATGAGCAAACGCACAAAGTGAGCTGGTCTCTCGAGAACTGAGCTGCTGACTACGTACCACATTGCCGCAGCCGTGAACTCGGTCCTGCTTTATCCAATGAGAGTGTCCCATAGCCCATAGCTCATGTATCGCTTATTTTAGCCTTGCATCTATACCGCATGTACATGATTCGCTGTGAGTGTCGCAACCAGGAGCTGTGCCATCATACCCAAGAAACAAGAGCTATTTTGGATGCTGCAGTATCTCTTGTTCTCCAGCAGTCGAGGCTGAACCTTTGAACATACAGCGTCGACACAAACTTCAAACCGCTTGATCCTGAAGACAACGCAATCTGGATGGCCCAAGAAAGTGAAACACTCTGCGGGCAACTGTATTTCCTCTCGACGCTGGTGACATGCAGTGGGAACCTACTAGCAATGGCCTCCAACCTAATTGCGATGGCCTCCAACCTAATAGCAATGGCCTCCAACCTAGAAGCGATGGCCTCCAACCTACTAGGAATGGCCAAAAAACTCCCAGACCTAAAAGACAGGGACGCGGAAGCAGTCCAGGTGATCTGGCCATCTCTTCGACGGTCCAATGCATGGCACACTCGTTCAGCGGCCACACCTCCCATGCCACTCCTCAGCCCAAAGTAAAACAGAAAGAATAAAGAACACAAACCTAACAGCAGTGGCCTCCATCCTAATAGCGATGGCCTCCGACCTAGAAGCGATGGCCTCCAACCTAACCTACTACAAGTACGGGTAGCGATGGCCTCCTCAGCCCAAAAGTCTAGCAACATCATTTAGAAGAATCTGTAGCATTCGCCGAGAGTTCCACTTCACGAGAACGCCCTTCAGGTCTTGGGCACTCAAGCAGCCTGTGGTGTCACTCATTTCAATTTGCAGCGTTGCATGGTAGGCATCCAGCCATGTTGTGCTAGGTGCACACTATGCAAGAAGCTCAATGTCTAGATTGAAGCACTGATCACCAGCATAGAATCATACAAAATGTGTGCATTGTTAGTTAGCCTCAAAAATGACAGACCCCTACCTGTCTTGCCTCACACATCTTTCTTGGTGGAGTCGGGAGTTCACGTCAGCCGTTTTCGGGTTCCTCTCAATCCGACGGCCCGACGGCCCCAGCCTTGGTTGCGCACGTCGAAATGCGTAAAGAGCGCTCGGAGCTCAACAAGAGCCTCAGGCCGATCTCCGAAGGCAAAAGGTTGGCCATGTTTCTTGGTTAGTAGTAGGGCTTGTTTCATGTTGATTCCGAGAATGAAGACCTGGTAGCACGGGGGGAATGTAACCCAACCGCATCAGGTCTCTACATCGCTGATACTTAAGCTGCTTTTCAGAAGACAAGGAAGAGAGTAGGTCGGAGGGCATCTCTATTAGGTTGGAGGCCATCTCTATTTTGTTGGAGGCCATCGCTAGTGGGTTAGAGGCCAGGGCCATAGCTATTAGGTTGGAGGCCATCGCTAGTAGGTTAGAGGCCATTGCTATTGGGTTGGAGGCCATCGCTAGTAGGTTAGAGGCCGGCGCTTTTTTAGGTTGGAGGCCATTGCTAGTAGGTTGGAGGCCATCGCTATTGGGTTGGAGGCTGAAGGGAGATGGTCATTCTTGTTCGAATGATGCCCATCATGAATGTATCCTCGGCCTCGAGTTCGCTCACCTTTAGACTTAAACAAATCAACTCAAAATGTAGTATTTGGGTAAACCCTGAAGCAGGAAAAATGAAAGGCGGTAAGAACCTGGAACCCAACTAACTCCTTGGATGGCTTGCCATTTGCTATTCCTCCGTGATTGGTTGCTGTCCTGGTTCTCGCACTTGCTGGGGTTGATGAGTCGCGCATGTTTGGAGACAAACTGCAGTGTGCAAAGTCAAACGGCCTTAAAGACATGTTTTGGGGGGGAGACTGACAATCTTCAGATGGCACCATCATCATCAAGCTTGACGGCGGCAAGTTGTGGTGCATGGTCGGCACAAGGAAATTGGAGAAAGAGTTGTGTTGATGCGGACAACTCCTTTCAGCTAACGTGGGACACTCAAGGTATTAACAAAGGCTCTTGACTCAAGCATCGGGGAGCTACAGGATGATATGGCTGAAAGGGCAACCAGGGGTGCAGTTGGTACTCCAGAACTTTCGTGCTCCTTTATGAGACCACAACGGGGAGCTGCTTCTGCCATACGAGCAAATTGAGTAGAGTTGGCGAAGTCAACCCAATGAAGCACCCGTTTATATTGCAGCTAAAGAAGGGCCATTTGGAAGTTGTCCAGTCGTTGTTCGACTCTGGAGCTGGCATGCAGGCGGCAAGATCAAGTGCGGCAACAGCTTTGTTCATTGCAGCCCGTGATGGAAATTTGGAGGTTGTTCAGTTGTTGCCGGAGGCTGGAGCCTACTAGAATGCGATAGAAGGGCTGCTGGAACAGAAAGGACCTTCTGAGTCCTGTCA